CCGTTGCGACCTTATCACTAACCACAGTACTTTTCTATTTCCTGTGATTCTTGAGCTTCCTACTCTTCGGCACTAGCCAGATGGAATCAGATGGTTCCACTTTACTCTCGCCGCAGTTGGAAGCTGTGCGTGTTCACCAGACACGCAACGCTTCATCGCTGTGGTATCACCCTGCTGTCTTACAATGTTGGCACTGTTTGCCCTCCTAGGTTTTCGGGGCTTTTTACATGCTATTGCAGACTACTGGGCACACTTCACCTCTGTTGCTTCTTTCGAAGTTAGGGGATGTGGTTCTGCCTCAGTCTTATGACTAAGGCCAGAATCCTCGTTAATAACATCTGTACTAGATGCTACATTTTCCCCTTCATCAGAGGTTTTTGGTAACTTCTTCGACATGAGAAGTCCTACGGCCTCTTGGATGAGGACATCCAACGGGTTCGCACAAAATTTGCACATCCATGGAGATGACGGCTTGCTGCTTCTCCTATAGACTGATGGTGATAAGCCAGTGCAAACTTTATGGAACCATAGGTTGCAGTTATCACACTGCATCCCATCCTCCACCAGAAAGTGGCAGTCCGGTCGTCCACAAATATTTGTGGGACTCATGTCAGTATAAGCTGTTTAAGTTACACACAAATATGTATATATATAACTAAATAAAGAGATATATAAACACAAAAAGTGACAAAAGTGCACAGAAATAGACACTACTTTAACTAATTAAACCAGTTAAAGTAAATCAAAAAGCTTCGGATGTGATTTACACAACAAAAGTAGAAGTTACTTCACAACGTAAAAAATACCACTCTCCTTTTCGAAGCACGCGCATTTAAATACATAATTTTACATAGACATAATTCTTATATGATTCCACATAATTACGAAGGTGAATAAAAGGTGACAATTACTTTCAACTGCATATGGTTTACGAGTGGCTTACAAACAAAATTACACAGGATCAGAACGATATACCAGTGTGTAGAAAATGAGCACAGAAACAAATTAAAATAATAATTTTAACTTGAAATGGAAGCTAGGAGGTGTGAATATAAATTACAAGAGTCTTAGAAACAAAAATTACACAGGATTAGGATATAATTGTAAAGAACGAATTACAAATGTGATCAGGAGGAACATAGAAACAAACTTAAAATAACTGTTCTTATAACTGAAGAAAATGAGATGAATTGAATGAACACAGAGAGAATAAGTATCACACACACACAGCGAAAGAAAAAAAGAGCAAAAGAACACCAAAAAAGAACAAAATAACAAAAAAAAGTGAAGGCTAAGGAAACATACCGAACTATGTCCATGTTAGTTGTAAAGGTTGAACTGATTTCTTTTGGACACACAGCTCCGGCTTTTCGATGCACATTCTGAGGGCTTCCGCAGTACAGAGAAGTTGGTTCGTTCTAATCCTGTGTAATTTTGTTTCTAAGCCTCTCGTAAATCATATGCAGTTGAAAGTAATTGTCACCTTTTATTCGCCTTGGTAATTAGGTGGAATCAAATAAGAATTATGTCTATGTAAAATTATGTATTTAAGTGCGAAGAGAGACAAAAGTGTATACTAATTTCCAACTTGATTTGAAGGTTTGAAGGTTTGGATGCAGATCATAAGGGGTACTGAAACAAAATTATGTAGGATTGGAACATAGTTATGCTCAACATATATATATATCAAGAAGGCAAAGCTATGCCTTCAACCATGAATCTAGTTTGGTTTTACTCGTTGTTTCTCGTTTTTTGTTTTCTCATTCCTTTCAGTTTCTCATCTTTAGCTATAAAGAAACTCTCATTTCAATTTGTTTCTATAAATTTCGCATTCCAACTTGTCTTCGTTAAAAACCACTTTAGCGTATTACGCAACCATCAACAATTCCTCGTTCAAACAGGCCATAAAGCTACTATTGAAGAGTCTGTTTCTATCATCTACTGGGTATGAAGTAAATTGCCAAACTCCAAACAACAGAGGTGATTTCACTTCGCCTAAAGTAAGCGGAACTCTGTGTGTAGAAGAAACTGGTCCAGCCACCTGCTACACTGGCCTGCTATGAAATCTATAAATTCATAAAATTCTCTATTATTTTCCTTAATTTGTCTGATATTCAGTCAAGTCTTATATTGAATAAGTATATTATCATTTAAAGATGCTTTCCAGATATAATCTAGTGCTGTTATTGATTCAATTTAATTTAATAATATTCAATAAAAATATTAATATTGTTAATAACAATAATTCCTCGAAATACAATGGACATATAACTGTAGAACTAGAGAAGGAAGAGGTGAATATTATCAACTCCATTATGGATAAAATTTGTTTTGATAAAGTCATACAGTGTTATACAGTAATATATACTGGTGACGACGTTTCGAGCACAGTTTATTGCTGCTCATAATCATATCAAGGCACTACTCACACAACCTTCTCGCTTCATTTATATACATGAGTAAAAACTGATGATTAGACATTTGAATAAAATCAATATAAGATAAAGTACATTCGGAAAAAATAATAATATTAGTGTTATCAATCAAATACAATCAGATGGGAAATAAGATGTTTTTATAGTAAAATAAATGAAGAACTTCTTAGAATTTTATACTGTGGGAGTTGAAATACATTCCAACATTATTTATCATCCTCTGATTTGATTGGTAATAATATCTTCCATATCTCTGGGATTTGCGTGGAGTCATTTCTCTTGCATTTGTTGGATGTTGACTCGATAAACAAGGAAGTAATCAGTAATCAATCTCTCTCTTTCAACCTACCTATATTACTTTTTAGAATTTCGACTCTGTCCCACCGGCTCTAGTGTGATTGTTCGTAAATGCATGCAGTGCTACTGCTGAGCTTTCTTCTAAATTACTTATCTTCGTGGGATCAGTCATTCTAACCTTAGATAAATTATGTTCTGAAAATCTGACTACTCCTGATCTACTAGTTTGACTGACCTATGTAGTTGACTTAACTCACAGTGATTGAAAGGCATTTTGTAAATTACATTATTTTGTCTCATTGGGTCCTTCAACAGGGTCTTTTAGCCTACAAAGCTTGTCTCTGAGTGAATTTGTAGGTTCGAATGCCACCCTGATCCCTTCTTTATTGAGAATCCTACGTAGGGTCTCAGATGTCCCCTCCTTATATAGCAAAACTGTAGATGCCTTATATTCTCTCTTATTTATGTTATCATTATTAGTTTCACCATTATTTTTATTTTGCTTTTGACATTTTTTGAATATGCTTAGTTCACTAATCTCAGTTTTTTGAAATTTTTAATAAGTATATTTAATTCATTAAAACACTATTCACTAAAAATGAACACAATCGCCGTTCTCCTAGAATATGAGAATAAAGTAGCTTGAAATTCTCCTGTAGGAGAGATATACATTTATGTAACGGAATGATTGTTTGGAAACTGTCTCTCTCTCTTTCTCAGACGATCTAATTACAACATTGATACTTATTTGGACGTTTCAACTAACTATGTAATTGTGATTCTCTTTTCTCCTAGACTGTATATCATTGTTCTGACCTTTGTATACCGTCTATTGACTTGATCCTTGATTATTTGCCTTTGTTCCTGCTTAATATGCAATTTTAATTCTTCTCTTTATGGTTGTGTGAAAAAATTGGTAATGTGTTGAACGATGTGATTTTTTTGAGTGAGTTAGGATCATTCCGATCTTGGACTGTCAGCTGGAAGCGTTGGTGTGCGATTCTTGTAGATAAAGTTTTGAACTCACCTTGTTGGGAATATTCTACTTCTAATAAGGTTGAAATTCGGTCAACTAATTTTGTTCTGCTGAAAAATAAGATGCAGATTTTCAACTCTAATGTGAAGTCAGTGCTACTATACGGATCAGAGACTTGGCGCCGCGTCACGAAGTGCACTTCGAACAAACTACACACCTTCATCAACAGCTGTCTTCGCTCATTACTCAAGATCAGATGGCCAGCAACAGGGATCTCTGGGAGTGAACCAACCAGGAGCCAGTTGTGCAATAAATATGCAGGAAGAAATGTAGGTGGATTGGATTGGCCACACTCGTAGAAAACTATCAAGTGAGTGACATCAAACACCAGGCCATCGCTGTCGAGTGGAACCCGAACGGGAAGTGGCGAGTTGATCGTCACTGCGAGGGTGATATGGAAGAAGTCATGTGAAGAGGAGATGAAAGCATGTAGGCAGACGTAGAGCCAGGCGAAAACGTTGGTGGAGAACCGAACGCATGATGGAGACGTGCGGCTGAAGCCCTATGTTCCTCTAGGAATTAAAGGAAACAATAAATTAATGATAATTTTGTTCTGCAGTACTTGTTCCGTACTAGAAAATATTTATCTTGCTTGTGTATAGCTGCTTGATGGCATTGTTTAGGTAATTTTTTATTATTGCTGAAAAGAGCCACATAGATTCGACAACGAATAACAGAGTTTTGTGACTGTGCGTAACTCAGAAAGTTTTGATTAGCTATACAACTTAGCTTAACTATTGGTTTGCTTCACTCAAACCACAACAAGTTGGTTGGGGTCGTTATAATTTAGGCATAAAACCGGCAAAAGTAGTAAATTTCAGTGGAGAAAAAAGTGATATTATTGAAAAGTCTAAAAGTTTTGCTCAAATTGTCTGTAAATTGAAGGCTTTCTCAATGTTTCCCTTCTATTACTACTAATCATTTATGTCACAACCACAACTATTGAACTGACAAACAACTTAGTTTCAATTCTGTCTATCTAACAATTCATGACATATATTGACAATAAATCAATTTTTAATATTTTTTAAAACAATTCTTAATGTTTACTGATTATCTCGACTCTTATTGGTTGAAACATTGTCAAATGACTTTCCTTGCACAATTAAGCACCAATCGTATTCACCTAGCCTACTTAGTCATAAACAATATAATACAATCGAAAAATGTAGACTGTCTAAGCAGTTTGATCGGATTTCACCTGACACTATTACTACAACCGTTGCTAAGAGATGCGTTCATACCTGATTTTCTGTCTAGCTCTCACCTTATTCGCTGTCAATACTTCCAGTGCTGCTACAAAGGATGATGAGTTAGCGGAATCTGTCGAGGATGTGGTAAGTTGACTGACTAACCATAATGTCACTAATCCTGTACGGTTTTTTTTTCCTAGGCTAAAGCACTTATCAATCTCGGCTTAGATTATGTGATCCGATTAGATGAATGGCTTGATAAAAATGTTGGCAAGAAAGAGCTGAAAGAGATTAAACAGAATTTAGTGAAATTCAGTCAACTTGCTGTGAATTTCATTGATACAAGTAATGACCTGTTAATATGGCATAGATTACTAATACTAATAATAATTTATTTCTTTGTAGCATTTGCGAGTATATTAACGGAAGACGATGAAGAAAAGGAGGGAGAGAAGACAAAACATTCGGAATTATAAAATCTCCGTTGTCTGTATGAAACAAGGAATTAAGTCTTGTGTATAAAGATTGTAAATAAAAAGTTTCTCTTTTGAAAACAAAGTGAATTTGACTTATTGAATTGAAAGTAAGCCGGAGAGATGGTAAACAATGTAGACTATTTCTGAGTAATACAGAACGCAAATGATCAGCCCACCTTTTGATGAGACAAAACAAACACTTGACTTAAACGTAAAATGAAGAACACAAAATTTGTCGAAGACAGGCGGATCTATACTTCTACCGTGTAAGGAAAAGACATCTGAAACCCTTCATCGGATTAAAAACTCAAATAGAGACAAATTTCGTAAGCTATAGGACCCCGCTGATCCAATTAAGCCTGACAATGACTATGCGATCAACTACATAGGTTAAACAAGAAGATGAGGGTCAATCAAGCTATCGGAAGATATGAATTTAACTGAGTGTAGAATGATTGACTACAAAATGTGGCTTACTTATGGAGAAGCTCGTCAGTCGCAATCTACACACACACAGGGGTATGGGATCAGAGATACAGTCCTAAAAGTTAATATGGGTAGGTGCAGATAGAGGTTGATTACCGAATCTGAGTTCATTAAGTCTACATCAAACACGCACACAATGGAATGGCATCACATGGATACCAGAAATATGAAAAGAAATTATTACCAATAAAATCAAAGGATAAGGGAAAAAACTATATAGGTTATTTGAGCATCTTGATATAATTAAGAGCAACAAACTACCCTCGAAACATCATCAATAAATAAATGATACTGTGTCATTCTGCTTTTTATCAAAATAAAATCATCATATTATAGGATGATGCTTTGCTGCTGTAGCCAAATTCTATTCTTATAACCAAGATACAGATAACTAACATCGGATTATAAGGTGACAGGAATAGTTGTCTTCAAAATCATTTCCTAGGGGATGTATCAAAAAGAACTACGTCGAAATGATTCGTGTTCCACAGAGGAATAAGGCAGGAACGTTCAAAGCAAGGTTAAAACTTTAATTGAATTTTAGATTTTCCCGTCGATTGATTGGACCGAAGTGCTCGGTCTAAGGTTGACATGTCGGCTTCTTGAGCAGATGCTTCGACGATGTCTGGCCATTTAATTAGTATTTAATTGGTGGATGGTGACTAGTAGTGAGATCCAGGATACGCATTTCGTCCTATTTGTTACATCCAGTTGACGAGTCCCAAACAGGACGAAATGCGCATCCTGGATTCCACTGCTAGTCACCATCCACCAATTAAATTCAAGGTTAGAACTGTTAAAATAAACAAGCTTCAGTTAGAAACATATACAACATGTACAACTCATTCATAAGATAAAAATCACCATGGGTAAGGTAAAATGTAGACTTTCAAATACTGGTTTTTACAGGTCATGAATTGATGTCACTTAGACGACCAGGGAGCGATGAACAGCTGGATGGCCTTTGTTTGGGACTCTTCAGCACTACGCTCACATGACTCAGACTGTATTTGAACTCTGGACCTTTTGGTTATGCAATGAGTCCGTTTACTATCCCATTACTGAGACAGTATCCAATATCTCATGAATTCTAGCTTCTCCGAATTCGCAGTACATGTCATCCCACTGCTAGCCAATAACATCGGGTGGTATTTAAAAATACACGAAATTTGATAGGTCCCAGTAGGTGGGTCTCACTAGAACTCCAACTACACTCTGTGATCAGTAAGCAGTAACTATTTATATAATTTTCATTCGTTTTTTTTCCAGGGATTTGAGTGTGCTAATTAAAGTAGTTCTATTAAAGTTAACAAAAATGGTTGTAGTGTAACGACACATGAAACAGAATATTACTTATACTACTTGATGGTAACAAGTAGTATAAAGTTTTACGCAAAGAAAACTGTCGTAATAACATGAAACCGGTAAGAATTTACAAAGGAATTGGACTCCCGCATAATATAATTAATATTTAAGATCGATAAATTTGGCGGTCAGGCACCGAAATCAACCAAAAAATTGATATTTATTTATCAGAAGCTGCCATCGCAGCCGCCATACTCAGGATCAGACAAACGTTAAAGAGACCATAGAGTGACATTACGCTTCAGGCTCTCTAGTGGGACCTAAATGGGAAATGACGAGTTGAGCATGTGTCTAACAGTGACTTGGAAAAGATTGTGCAAGGAGGAGATCAAAGCGTATACACAATCGTTGAGATAGCTAAAGAGGACTTCAGAGGACAGGATGATATAGGGATGTGCTGTTGAGGACCTATATTCCACTAGGAACCCAAGGGAATTATTATTATTAACTGTTTCTGTATTGGTCCCATCTTAAAATACTAACCTTTGACGACTGTACCACCCTACTGTCTGACAGTATTTAATTGCATACATTGGGATTCCTGGGTTTCTGTCTTGACGAGTCAATCTTTCTTTGGTCAAACATTCTACACTTAGTTAAACTCAAACTTTCCTTTAACCTAACTAGACCCACCTTACTGAATATACCCACGTGGCTGAATTCACTATCATTGGAACTCATTCTGTAGATTGAGTTATTTTGCCTACTTGTGCCAGTAACCGCCTCTACTCCATGGTGGAATTATAATCTCGTATCACAGTGGAGGTGTATGTATTTTCTGAAAAGATCACTAAGAGAGGTGTCGATACTTAATGGATTTGACTTGCAGGTCAGAATATCACTTGGCATATGACGACTGAAGCGGAATAATTTCGCGACTACATAGTTTTATTCGGAACATGGTACGACACTACTGCATTTAGAAAAAGGTGGTGAGAAATACTATCTTCAGTGGCATTACTTCGAGAAACCTTACTTTCACAGTATTGAGCAACCAGTTTACTAGCCTATGAACCAGCCTTTCTACTAGTAGCAGTGCTCTCCGTCAAGAAAGAAAAATCGGACTGTTAAATCACCTTGAAATATCCAGTTTTAGAGGATGATTCAAGTCTCATTTTACACAAATGTAAGTGGAAATCAAAAAGTTGACGGAGTAGACATGGAAGACAGAAACTCAGGTAAGCATACAGAAGACAGAGGTGATGAAGCCACCTAACAAACAAAAACAAACATAAATCACCATCACTGATAGACACCTAAAAGAGATCGTCTCCATCAATTCCTTACCTGAACAGTATCATTTCTACTACAAATGCCACTGATAAGGATGTCACTGGCAGCCAGGATCGGATGGTAGAAGCGAAACTGTCTTTCACTAGTCAGAGATCTCTGGGGAGATCTAAAACACCTAGTTATCATAAGGAATATGATTCGAATTTGTAACACTAATGCCAAGTCGGTACGTACGTGTCACAAAGATCACTTCTGAAAAGGCTACTGAAGACTTAGTCAACAGATGCCTTCTCTGTCTCAATACAAAATATCAGATGGCCGGCCAGAAGGGATAAGCAAACAACCAGGAACTTTAGTGGGCAGTGAACGAGCCAACATCTGTTGCTCAACAAATACGCAGAGGGGAGCGGAGATGGATTACATATATGTTGAGGTGACATTCCAGTGAGATCGCATGCCGTGTACGCTGTTGTTTGGAACCTGAACGTTTGACAGTAGTTCAGTGAGAATATGGGTTATGATACAGAAACCAGTGAAATATAGAAATATGTGCAATAAAACTCCCATCCTACATTGATGACTAGATTCTTTGCTGACTTTCAGAAATTCTCACAAGGAGATACAACTAGTGTGACCTAAAAAGATCATGTCTGAGTACATGTAGTCACAAATAACATTGGATAATTGTGAACTATATTTTAAATGACAGAGGTAATTTTTTCTCGAGAAACTATCTTTCTATCCGGTGGCAAAATGGTAGCATGAATCCTTCGTAACAATTGAGTACTGAGTTCAATCTGTCACGCATTGATGGAGTGTTTCTCAGTGTCGATTGATCTTCAGTGGCTTTCGAAATGGTATGAATTCGCTCGTGGTCTTCTTCAGTGAAAGAACGTTATTCTGTTTTTATATTCTTTATGTATGTTTTATACTATTTTTAGAACTAGAAATACTTTTGGAAACAACATAATTCAGTACTTGATTTCTTTATTAGTCAAAATAAGCTACTTTTAAGTAGTATATGAAATTTATTAAGAATTTTCGTACACATCTGACTAATAGTAGGAATGTAGTGAGGTTTAAACAACAAACGTTGTAGCATGTGCATACTATGAATGCGTAGAGTGGGGAATGAAAGGAACAGATCATAAAATGATAAACTTGAAATGACCTCTTCTATCTCAGTCGCCGTATTTAAATAATTTATGATATCGTTTGGTTGTTGGTGGTTAATATTGGAGTCCCAGAATCATGTCTCACTTATATCTAGTACACATCATCTGAATGTACTTACTTCTAAGTGCGTGAAGGTTTTCCTGTTTGTCCTGAAACACTTGTTGTTGATTCCACTAACATCTATACCATGCTAACCTAAAGTAATCGTCGAATCATTCGTATTTGGAGCCAATATGTCAACAGAGACCGTCAACATTTCGACCTAATAAATCTAATGAGCGAAAACACTCGGCATAATTTCAACAATTAATTTACTATGTATTACAGTACCTCGCTGAAAACATTCCGTTAAATTCAAGTGTTGGTTTGCAGGGATTTTAGTGGTTTCAGGATTTCATCAAGAATTGACATCGGTTAAAGGACCATTGGAAAACCTAGGAATACTGGACAGCTGTTTCGTCCTAGTTTGGAACTCTTCGGAATAGAATGAACTCCATTGGTCACTATTTCTGGATTTCTGGTGGGAAATCGTGACCGGTGGAGTCCATTCTGTTGAGAGTGAAGACAAGTGCTTGCCGTTCACATTGCCTAGTGGTCACGCTAAAATCACGATTTTGTAGAAGTTGGAATTCATGGGTTTGCCAGTAAGTCAGGTTCCAGTGGCTTGCCTTGTAACCGGAATGTCCTGGTTTCAAAACTTGGTAGGTGCATACTACAATGAGATTAAGACTAGGAAGAAA